AACTGATTGCGCTCCAATTTAAAATACAATAGCAATAAATATACCTACCAAATAAAATTTTCAAAATCCATAGAAATCCGCGTAGACCTATTGCTACAACAACACCGCAATTTCCAAAAAAGAAATCAGGCTTGCAACTTGTCTCGCGAGTACTTACACTTTACACTTATACTTTTATCACTCCGCGAGGAGAGAATAAGAGTTTAAAAGAAACGTACCTTAATATTTTGTACAGTCTCGAAATTTTCTATAACCAGAATTTCGTTCGTGAAGAGAATGATTATCAACTGATTGCGCTCCAATTTAAAATACAATAGCAATAAATATACCTACCAAATAAAATTTTCAAAATCCATAGAAATCCGCGTAGACCTATTGCTACAACAACACCGCAATTTCCAAAAAAGAAATCAGGCTTGCAACTTGTCTCGCGAGTACTTACACTTTACACTTATACCTGACACTTTCGTCGCTCCGCTGGTTAAAAAAGACTGAGTTTCGCGTTCGCGGGCCGCTAAGTAACTCGTGGTAACAAAGTAACTCGTTCGTTCGTGTTCGGTGCTGGGGGAAGAGATGATTTGGCTGTCGTGTGCGGTCCGCTCGAGTGGTGAAGCGGTCGAGCGCCTCGCGTCGTTGACGTAACGCGCTGAACTGACAATGGTAACTACATTAACCTTTGAAGGGAGGCACCGTGTCGAATCGGATTCGGTACACGCCGGTGCACCGCAGATTCGAAATTCTCTGTCCGCGTGGCGGCAGATGCACCGGTCGTTGATACAAAGGGAACCGGCCGCGATTAAGCGCCGATGAGTATTTCGAGCGTGTTCCGTCTTCAGCGAGTCGAGAGGCGAAACGGTCCGAAGCCACGGTTAGTCGTGACGATTAACCCTCCTCGGCCAACGAGGAGGAGGGAGACGCTGCGTCAGTTCTGACACACGCGAATGTGTTTCGTATTTATTATTAGATCCATGATTTTTCTTTCACTTTTCGTTTTTTTTTTTTTTTTTATAATCTTCGTGGTTTTTTTTTTTTTTTTTGTCAAAGCGACAAGTAGCCAAGAAGATAAATGGCCCCGTTCAGGGCCATTTGAGGCTCGCTCCATTTGCAATTCTTTTTCAGCTTAATTCACATCGTAGAGGTTTTTTTTTTTTTTTTTTTTTTCATAAAATCTCCCATTTGGATTTCACGATTTCATCAAATTCATATTCGCCCGTGTGAATTTGAAGAACTGAAGCCTAGACGAATGATCGTTGTCGAGTATTTTTAATGTCAAGCCTCTGAATTGTAATTCATCTTTCATACGTTGTACGGATATCAAACAGAGCTGGATATCTGTGCTGTTTGTGAAACGTGCCCCCGACAATCAATAATCCAACATCTTAGCTCTATATCCTGTTATATAGTATAAAGTTCCGTACTCTATGTCAAATAATTCTTCAGAGGTAAAGAAAAAATACAAACGCTTCCGTACACTCTAACCTCTTTTATACTACTGAATATTGCAAGGGCTGAGCATAGCAGTTTCACACGGGCAACAGAGCCGAGATTCCTCTATATTAAATGAGCAAAGGAAAGGCGAGGAACTTTCAAACGGCATGTATTGCTTATTAACTCTTCCCAGATGGCCGAGTCCCGAGTAGCGAGCCGTCAAAGGCGTCGTTAGGCTAACCAAGAATAGACAAAGGAGGACGTAACAGGTAGAAATAGGAATGCCAGCGCGATTATTGTCGTTCGTGCGGCGGCGATTACCCAATGACGGCGGCATTGAGCAATTGTAGGATGCAACGCCGTCCTCATCGACGTGATTCGCCGAGGTTTGCACAACTTGTCCGACGAACGTGTCCTGTTCAACGCCGTTTCTTCGCGTGAAAATGTAAAAACCCAGCGCAAAAGATGTGGATATCTTTGTAGAACACAGTTGCTTGCGCGACCGTTTGGACATTCATGGCAACCATTTTGTGTCGTACAAAATTTTGTCAATACCCCGTAGACTCAGTTGTCACGATTGTGTTAGTCAAGCTTGGAAGAAATGTAACGGTTATCTTGCTTAACGCTGGAACTAGTAAAATGGTCGAAATGACCAGTTTAGAATTGTTCATGAAAAAGGAAATTTTATGTATTTGCAATGGTGTATTTCTAGTGATTCGAATGGTTTCTGGTAAAGTATATAAGCGGGAGCTAGTGTTCCTTCATTTTCATTCCTTTGCTATAAATTTTATATTTCAGTCATCCAGGTTCAGTCCTGGCGTTGAAGTGAAATCCAAACGTAATTGAGCAGTAGCAACAGTACGAAACGAAAGTATAAATAAAATAACGACAGACAGTAGTAGAAAAGTCTATATAAACGTGTAACATAACTTTTAATTTACTAAACGGCAAATCAGCCAATATCTCAGAACACCGGCAATAATGCAATTTAGCAATATTGCTCCGAAATACAGGGTGATTCACATAACATGCACATCTGAAGTAACTTTTAAATATAATAGTGCCAATCCAATAAAAAATTGGTTCCAAGGGAGGCAAAATATGGCATATCAATTTTGTATTAAACGGTGCATCAGGTGTGCAAGTTACGTGATCAAAATCACCTTGTACAATATGTTATGATATTTATTTGCTCGTTCACAAATAAAGTGCCAACATCTTGCGAAAGGAACTATAAAGATTTTTGCCACGCAGAGACGTTATTTCTCGGCATTCTCTCCGGAACGCTGCATACCTGGTGCGAAAACGCTGGTCCGCGTGAATAAAACGAGCACTGTGCACCTTTCCCACTGCCACGTACCTTTTGTCTATCGCGAATCACGGTGTCATTCGATAGTGGATGACGGTCTGCCAGACCGGTTTCGTGCGACGATCCATCCTGTCGTCGATCGAAGGCCAGTTTCTCATCGGTAGAGTGGCATTAGCCGCGTGGCTGCAGGAAATGAAGTATTCCGCGGCATGAACGAATGCAGAACGGAAGCGAGCGTCCGATCGAGCGGAATCGACCAAGCGAGACGTCGCTCTCGCGCCGATTTCAATCGATCATGCGAATAGTCGTCGTCGTAACTGAGAATTTGGCGCGGATTCAAATTCACGGTACGTGGAATCAGGATGACTTGAAACTCGCGGGGGCTCCTGCGAGGGGTGGAGCAGCAGAGAATTGCGGGAAAATAAACGGATTGAAAGGAGCTTGGCAAAGATGTAGATACACTTATATGCCATACTCTGACTTACATTATACTGGCTGGCCGACTTAAATGAAATCTCGTCGAATTGTATGACGAAGCGACAAATATTTCTCACATAACGCGTGAATAGCGTCTGGCAATAGTACTTTCTTCGGAGTGGCGTGCCACGCACGTCGTCGAATTTTTCTGTTCCAAAATTGTAATATCTTCTCAGTTTCAAGTGAAACAAAACAAATAATAAATTTCTTACTTCTCAATAATTTCTAACCGAGGAATTCGAGAAGAAAGCGACGAATTATTGTATATGCGGCCCGGTCACTCGTTATGGTCCGCAATCAGTTGCCGGCGCCAAGCGGTTTAAAAATACAGTACATTCAGATGTATACAACATTTCTTAAAATACATTTCTTCTATTTTCACATCCCGATGCTACCTAACACTATCGTTCAATATCTCTCGCGTACACAAGCGTTCGCAATGCACACACGCATAGCGAGAGTAGCCGATGACTGTTGACGCGAAGACGAGCGTGTTCACAGCCGAAACATAATGAAACAAGAGCAAACGAGGTTCAAAGGCATAGAACGACGTCGATTGGACAAGGAGCGCGACGATAAGGGAACACAGAGAGAGAGAGAGAGAGAGAGAGAGAGAGAGAGAGAGAGAAGGGTAAAAGGCAGAGGTTAGGGTCTTTGATGTTTTCACGTACAAAGTCGATGGCGTTCTCGAGGTGGTCCCGACAGCGGGAGGGCTAGAATGGCCGCACGAAGGTCCTACAAGGTGCTACGTTCACATCGTTCTCCATACTCAATTATCATATTGGGTCTGAGGCCAGTTCCTTCTACCCATCCTCCTTTTCGTCTAGCCATCTAGCTCTCCATCTCCTTTGCACCTTTCAATTTTCTTTAACGTTCTTCTTCAAGCGTCTAGAATCAATCATCCCTTCTTCCTCTTCTCCTCTTTACTCACCGCGTTACTCCGTTTCCCTCTCCTTCGCTTTCTTTCTTTCTTTCTTTTTTTTTTTTTTTTCTTCGTCTATCCTCCGTGTATACCACGCCGCGTATTTATCCTCTCGCTCCGGCTGTCTCCGATAGACCATTGTCGGCTGCCTTCCAGCATAATGCATCTCTAAACGGCGGCGCCTCAAAGATCGACGCCTCTTGCGTGCCCTCGGAATTCTTCAATATTAAATTAGATTCTTGGATGGGGATCTTTCTAGATCGCTGCCATGGCCGGGCCGAGGCGCATGCATCCACCGGTCGTGTACAGTGACTACGTATACATTTGTACATTGATCATCCAGCGAAGAAATTTTTCCTTAGGTATCAAATCTTCGTTGTTTTATGAAAATAGTTGATTAATTAATGTGGAAATGTATACAATAAGTATAATGGCGTGCCAAGTATCTTTCGTAGTCACTATACATAAATATTTATATACAACATTTTTTTTCTCTCTCTCTTCTTCATTGATTTCGCGATGGAAAATTGAAAAGTGTGTTTCAGCTCTAGTCAGGAGAACAAGAACGTTGTGCATATTCTATCGTGACTTGTATAAAATTTATTTAATTCGAATTATTATTACTACATACATTATCCAACTGTTATTAATAGTATTGCACAATAACATAAAAAATGATAATATTTGATTGAAGTACTTAATTACAACAAAATGAAAATCTTCGAGAAACAAATTCACTTGATAATGAAATTTGTTCAGAAGGATTAGAAAATGAATCGCGAAGGATTTGACAATTTGAATTTTCGTCCATACGTCGTTTTTCCCACATCCACGCTCGATCGTTTCAAGAATTAATCGAACGACGACGTGTGTCCTATCGGTCACGCGTCGTCGATCAAAACGAATATCATTTCGTTTCTTTCTACGCACGCACGCACGTACACACACACACGGCTTCGGAACGTGCGTGCGAAATAAAGACAGAGTCTGTTGCGTTAATTGGAGCAACGTTTCTAACCCCGATCGAGCGGGCTGATTAGCCGCGTTACGCCCCGCTGAATTCGTGTATATTTCCTCGACGATCGCCGGTTTCCTGGAAGAAAGCGCCACACCGCCTACGCACACGCGGCCTGTGGCGTCGATCGATTCATCCTGTGAACGCCGCGACGCGTTATACAGGGTGGCTACGCCGCAAACCGACCGAGGAGGTGACTACGCGAAAAAGAATGCATGAAACTCGTTCAGAGTTCGTTCGAGAGAATCAAGTTTGAAGGTTTATCGATTCATTTCAAAAAAAAAAAAAAAAAAAAAAAAAAAAAGAAAAAAAAAAATAGCAGAGAAAATTTCGCGCTCTACAGTTGTAGCAGCAAGTATCGATTAATATACAGTACGAAATTTGTCCAAACGCCTTTTAAAAAAATTTACTACATATCCTTATTAACTAAACCCTGTGATAATAACTCTTTCGTTATCTTTCATTTGGTAGGAGATGAAGGTAAGAATTAAATTTAATAAACTTTCAATTAATATTTCTTCCATTGAATACAGTCAATATTAATCAGAAGCTATAGGAAACAGCTGTCAAAATGAAAAATCATGGTACTGATAGATTATCGGAATTTCTTTTTTCGACGTTTTTCTGATGAGATCGTTTTTCGCGCGCCGTGCGTCTCGTTTCCTCCTCTCACTTTGCCGCCGATATCCCGCTTCGACCGCCGCGACACCACCCGTCATTGACGAACCTTCTCTCCCGTATAGGGAAGTATAGAAACGGCGCTCGCACGCGAACAAGCCGAGTAACGTTTTCCTGTCACGAGATCACCAGAGAGAGGGAGGAAAGGCGAGAGTGTAGTAGCGTCGTTCGTAGAGAAGCCCACACGAGTCTGGCCGGATACTCATACTTCCGGTCCTACACATGGCTGCGCGCGCACGCGTGTGTATTCCTTCCCCCCCCCCCCTCTCTGTTTCGTCCCTCTGTCGTTCTTTGTCCGTCTCCATCGTCGTTGCGTTACACCTCTCTGTCCGTGACGTTACGTCCATGCTCGAGTACGTCTAGAACGGCGCTTACTTTACTTTACTTTACGACGCGGCGTTACTCTTTTCCCCCTTTTCGCTCCCGTTTGCTCGCGCTAACTTCGAATTTACAATTTCCGAGCTATTGGTACGGGGAAGAGCAGCTGTTACTTGCGCTTTTTATTGGCAAGAGTTCTCTAAGCGTACACGGTCGAAATGTGCCCAAATGATAAAAGCAAGAAGATCTCGTTCAAATCAGAATGTGTACGTATCGTGTTCGGGAAGTGGAAAAAATTAAATAATACTTGAAAAGCTGATACGTCAATTTATTATATATATATATATATGTACAGGGTGTTTCGTAACTTGTGGGACCCACTTCAGAAGCTGTACGCCTAAAAATAATGAAAAAAGTGTCATATAAATATATGTCCTGTCTGTCTTCGTTTATGAGATGTAATTAATTCTCTGTTTCAATTACTTTTACAAAAGATGCTCGAAATGACTACCTTGCATTTTAAGACAAGCCTGCACGCGCATCTCTATCATTCCTGGTGTTTCTCGAATTTGTCGGAAGCCTTGCTCTTTTCCATTTCGTAGTATTTCAGCATGTTCAATCAATGTTGCGTATACAATAGATTCGAAATTTTTCTTTCATGCGACTATTTGAAGATTCAGTAAATTTCGCAATACTCTCTAAATCAGTTCAGCTCTTACTAATAATCGTAATACATGTCGTACAAGATCGTGTTTGAAGTGATAATGGAGCGAGTATTACGATTATTAGTATATTATTATTATTATTACGATTATTATTATATTATTATTATTATTACGATTATTAGTATATTATTATTATTATTACGATTATTAGTATATTATTATTATTACGATTATTAGTATATTATTATTATTATTACGATTATTAGTATATTATTCTTATTATTATTACGATTATTAGTATATTATTATTATTATTACGATTATTAGTATATTATTATTATTATTACGATTATTAGTATATTATTATTATTGTATTACAATTTTATATATATATATATATATATATATATACTCTCAAGATGGTGAGATTTAAAAATTTTATTAAAAATGAAGAGATAGCGAGATATTTAAAAAAATATGAAGAGCAGGAGTTTTATAGTTGGATACGAAGATAGTGAGGCGAACGTTACACGCGACTTACGTTGTTCTATACTTCCGCGCGTGTGCGTGGATCGTTGTGTGCGTACCTTCTCTGGCGTGACGTCACCGATGGGACACCCTACGCACGCACGTTCTTCGTATGCCAGCGATCGAGTCATTCACCAGCGTGGCCGGTGCCGACTTCTTGAACTTTGCCAGGCTTTTGCGCTTTCTTTTCCCTTCGCACAGATCCCCGGGGGGATTGTTTTTGTTGCAACAGCTAGTATAATCCCCCGGGCAAAGTCTCTGTTTACGCCTTACGGCATCAATTCCATTGAAGAAATGTAGAAAAACCGATGTCATTTAAATTTATCCTCGAGGCTATTAATTTCTTCACTCGAGATTGTTAGAACTTGGGAAATTAACCTCTTGCCACGCACGTCGATAATTTTTTTGTCCCGAATTGCAACATTTTCTTACAACAGTTTCAAAGTATATTCAAATGTATAACCCAGGGAAAACAAATGACAAGTTCGTTACTTGTTAATAATTTTCTATCCACCGACACGAGTTCAAAAGCGACGGATCATTTTATACGGTTCGGTCACTCGTTATGGTCCGCAGTCGGTTGCCAGCGCCAAGTAGCTGAACTCGAACTTTGAAGCTCCTCGAGTCTGTACGTCTCGCGGGGGGTCGTCAAAGAATTTCTCAGGTCCCGTTTGCATGACCAAAAAAAAAAAAAAATAAAAAACTAGGGGGAGGAAAGAAGGAGCCAGGTCTGGCCGCGGAGACAAATTAACGGCGAGGGTTTCCGTTCGTCGTCGGACGCATTTCGATGAGACAGATTTAGACGGGAGGAAAAAGTGGGTGTAGGGGATTACGTGGCCTGTTTACAGAGAGTGCCGGCAACGGCTTGCTCGCGCGTCACGCAGAAAAGAGGGGCTGCTGCGCGAGAAGAAGAAAGAAACGCGACGAGCGACGCCGGAGAAAGAGGGACGGCTATAACGCAGAGAGGGGGAACGCGAGGGGGCAAGAGAGCAAGCAGCGGCCACCAATTTGAGAATCGACGACGACCCTGGGCACCGACGACTTCCGGTGGTTCCGTTGACCCCGTAGAGAAGTTCGTCGCTACGAACTCGCGCCGAACTCGCACGACGCCTCGAACAAACGAGCGACTATTCGCGCCGAGCAGTGCTTTGCCTCGGCAACATCCGTATCCACGTTTCTTTTTTTTTTTTTTTTCCTTCCATTCGACCAGCGAACATCGTAAACTCTTTACTGTTGAAAATCGTTCGGATTGTCTTGACACAAAAAGAAAAAAATGAATAATAAGGATTCGAAGCTTCGTTCCATTTTGTACAACAGTGGCGCGCGTAAGGTAGTCGAAAACGTAGGATGTTGCTTTCAAAGCTTCGTTACTGATCGTAAAGATATCTCTGTCATGCGCGAAACACGTAGTACCATCAGAGGCACGAAGAAGTTTGAAATTTGTTAATTCTATCGGCACTTAGTAGCAAGATAAAATTGGGAAACTTCCAGAAGCTTCGGTCGTACGATTAACATATCGGGCTCGTCTAAAAATAAACAACTCCGTTCGCAACGCTGTGATACAGAGAGAAGAACCATCATTCCCAAGGTAAATTCCAACGGCCGAAACATCGAAAATCCCTGAAAATCGATCCTTGTCTTCCCTGTAGTTGCGAAATCGATCGACGACGCGACCCCCCGCCGCGTGTTTCCTATTCTCGATGCGCGTTGACAACGATCACGTGATCAACGAGAGGAAAGCGCACGTCGCGTAAAAATACTACGCCACGCGAAACGGAGTGGCGATGCGAGAATCGGCGCGAGGTAGGAGTAGGAGTAGGAGTAATAGTAGGAGGTGGAGAGGAGAGGAGAAACGATTGAATGAATCGTCGATGGGTAAGCGGCGCGGCGGCGCTAGTTAGCGGATGTAAAAAGTGTGTACAGGATACGGGCGGCCGCGAGGAGGGTGGCTAGGAGGCCGTATTAGTCGCAGGAAGGGTGACGACGAGGAAGAAAAGAGGAAGGAGTGGCAACGAAGAAGGCGACGAACTGCGCACGCGCACGCTACGTGTCCGCCACTTTATGAATGCACGCCGCAAAACGTGCGCGTCGCCGCGCCGTCGTACGTACGCCAGGCAACCGTACATTCATACGGCCACCGTGAACGTAGCCAACGTAGCCAACGTAGTGCGTAGTAAGCACTCACCACACTCGCGGCCAATGTCTGCGGAGCTAGCTGCGTGCGCGCTCCCTCTCTCTCTCTCTCTCTCTTTCTCGCTCCCTCCTCGTCATCTTTCTTTCCCTCTCTCTGTAGCCCCAAGGGATTTACTTAGGACTTAGAGCGTCGTTCTGCCGCGCGAATCGTTAAAACGACGCCGGCCACTTGCGAACGATGGCGCTTGGGTTTATTGACGTTCCGCGGTGAGAAACGCGTGCTAAAGTTTTCGATTCTTGGTAAAATAAAAAAAAAGAATAAGTTTCTCTGGGTGTCTCGTAGATTCCACGAAAATAGAATTTAGGACAGTTATGTATACGCGGTGTTTCGTTTCAAGCTAAAGTTACATTTCCAGAGAGATAATAGGATAGTATATGATAGAATGTAATGTAATAATAAATATAATGATAATAGAATGTCGTTTTGTTGTTGTACACAGTTCTTCATTTAAAAAAAGTATCATTCTATGTTGAGAAACCATTAGTCGAAGAGGTAATTTCAACTTTAACCACTTAGCTGCGCTGGCAACTGACTGCGGACCACAACGAGTGACCGTATGCGATAATTCGTCGCTTTCTTTTTATTGAAATTATTGAGAAGTAATAAATTTGTCAGTTGTGCTTTGCCCATTTTGTTCTACTTGAATACACTTGAAATTGAAAAAATATTACAATTTTGGAACAAAAACATTCTCGACGCGACAGGGGCAGTATTGTGAGATTAGGCCTTTCGACGAAGCTGCGAAATATGTAAAATCTCTCTTTCAGTCTTGTGCAAAATTTTAATACTCACGCCGAGTGCAATGGAAAATGACGCGAATTTGAATCTGAACGTTGAAACTTACCTAATGTTATCGCATTTAGATCAATTTCTTTCGAGTTCGACTTAAAGAAAGAGGGTTCGGACGGCAGTGTGACTGTGAAATTGTTGAAAATAGCGGACAAATTACGGCAGTTGCCAGCCGACGCGAACACGGATGGCTTCACAAATCATCGAGCGTATCCACGCTTGCCAGTATTGAGAGTAACAATAACCGCGCACGCGTTTACAGATATACAGCATTAGTTTCGCAGCCTGTAATACACTTGTCTTCCCTTCGCGCTTTTTTAACGAACGGTTCGCACGAGGACGGTGAAACGACCACGCATGCGCCTTTTCTGCATACGAGTTCTACAATGATAATTGCACTCATTGACATTTCCCTGCGGTTCATTCATTCAAAGTCAGCGTATATCAGCCGCGCGTTATTATCTCCCGTTCCATCTCATCGATCCTCGCGAAACGCTGATTCACTAGAAATCTCTTCCAACACTTTTTCTCAAACTGTTTGTTGATCAGCTTCGTAAACTAAAAACGTTAGTTTTTCACCTCTTTTCTTTTTTTTTTTTTTTTTTTTGACCGTGTAAAATTGTACAGCGAAGAACTTGGAATGAACTTGATTAGTTAATCAGGATTGCGTTTCTGCCGTGTAAATACGAAAGGCACGTGTTTTCAACATTTTATTGAAAATA